GTTGAGAAGTAAGAGAAAAATACAAAAACATAAATTGTTTAAAAAAATAATTGCTTTTCTTGATAGTAAGGAGCAGCTTTTCTTAATAGTAAGGAGCAGCTTTTCTTAATAGTAAGGAACATTCTTCACTATCTTTAAATGTTTGACAATTAAGAAACACAAATATAATAAAAAAAAAATTTTATAAAAATTAATGAGTTGTCAATTTCTTAAATGGTAGTGTGTATAATATTTGATCCAAAAGTCAAGTATTTTTCAACTTTTTAACTTATCAATTTTTTAATGATAGTAAAGGTAAGAATTAAGATTGGATCCTTAGGTTAAAAAGCTAAAGTATTTATAAAAAAGTTATATTTTTATATTTTTCTCTCATATTTATCAATTTTTTTTAGTGGAGGGGCTCACCAATAATTAAGACCTATATATTTTTCTCAATAATTGGTATACTCTATTTAGACAGCCTTCTAAATTTACCATTACGAAATCAACATTTTAATTATTGTTAATTGAGAAAGGTTTAATAATTAGGGACCCACTATAACTAAATTATATTTTTTGAAACTACTCATTTTATTTATTTATTTATTATTATTTTTTTTAAAGATCAAACTATTTTTCTAAAAAGTCTCGGATCTACTTGAAAAATGAGGTTTGAGAAATTTTTGCGCAGATGTTGGCTCCTCTGCCCATTGGGTTCGCGGTGTTTTTGGTGCATTTGGCCACCATTCCGATCACCGGAACCGGCATTAATCCGGCCAGAAGCCTCGGCGCCGCCGTCGTCAGAAGCTTCCAGAAGGGAGAGTTCGAAAGGGTCGGAGGCGGCGCCAACACCGTTAGTGCCGGATTTTCTAAAACGGCCGGCCTTGGAGCTGAGATCGTCGGCACATTTCTGCTGGTCTACACCGTCTTCTCCGCCACTGACGCTAAACGGAACGCCCGCGACTCCCATGTTCCGGTCACCCTCAAACTAACTTCATTCTCTATTCTATTCATACACTCCATTTAATATTTATTTCACTTTTTTTTTTATCAATTTAACGGAGCTTAACACCTACTCCATCCATTATTTTTTAAAAAAAATTATATATTTGTCTCCGATAACGAAGAATCTTGTTCTTACCACCCGTAAATAGTTGAGAAGTAAGAGAAAAATACAAAAACATAAATTGTTTAAAAAAATAATTGCTTT